AACAGACATTCTGTGCTTTTAAAGACACAAACAATCAGCTACCTAATGAGAACAACCAGTTACGGCTTTTAGTACAAAAATAAGTACAAGTAACCACAGTTTGGCAAGGATGACCCAAATATTATTCAGGTTCTTTGGTCACAGGTTCGTAAGTGATTGTAAGCAGAAACTTGACATTTTCCTCTATGGGAAAACTTCTACGCTAGTGAGGAAATCTGGGGGAGATATTCTTTCCTGGATACTAATCCTAACAGTGCTGAAGACAATATAACAACTTTCAGTTGGGATACTTGTTCAGTAAAGACTCATGAAAAGGGCCTTCGCTCTGAGTCTGTTTCTTCAGAACGGCTTTTTCGGCGCATCTTCACCAGTTACTGAATAGGATGGACTTGAGTGTGACAGCTTTTGAGATTCATAGCTTCATGTTTTTTAAAGTAAGCTACTTTATTCTAGTAAGTCTAAAATTTACAAAGAAAGATGTCAGATCATGTGATAATATGAAAGAAATACACCTAAGCTTAAGATGTTCTGGCGTTGTTGGTATTGTCTTTTGTAACCCACTTACTTACCTGTGCAACATCTATGTAATTTATCAAGTCCAATGGCCCTTCAAGATTTTTGCTCTCATTATACTTCAATTTTTCAATGGCGCCAACATATTTAACTCTGAATTCTGCACACGTATCAGAATTACTATTGCTTTGTCCTGCAATAGAATAAAACAAAGCAATCCTGAAGAATTCCAGAACAGTAATGCTATTCTAATTGGTGTTAATGGGGCTAACTTATTAAATTCCATCATTTTTGCAGACTTTCATCAAACACTTAATCTTACCACAGTGTATTAACTCCTCTCTTTAATGACCTGTCCTGGGTTGATTCAGAAGAGCCCTTGGTAAAGGCAACAGTTTTATATAAATCCATGATACACCACTGTTCATACTAATTCAAATTTGGAGTTAACAATCTTAAATCAGAAAACATAGAAAAGCTGGTTCTACTTTTCTGTATGTATATTCGTTTTAAATGAACTGTTTGGTCCAACAGTGATGCGCTGTGATCTGGTGAGCAAGAACAAGTAAAATCAAATCTTATTTCCATTATTTCAGTGCAAATGTAAACTTAGAAAAGCAGGAAACATAGCTTCCAAAAAGTTATACAAGATTTATGCTGCGTAAGAGACTAGTAACACAACTAAGCTTTTCTTACTCAGATGCTTTACTTCGAAAAGAGTGACTTAATCCTAGGTGAATCATTAATAATACTTTAGAAGCCTAGAGCTATGCATGCATTAGTCAACAGGCTAACAGATTCACTCATGATTATTAAAAATACATATTTTAACCTTTTCCATTTTCTGCTCTTTCATATGAACACACATAAAGTTAATCCTGCTCGATACATACCTGCTCAAACTCTGATTACATACCTGAACTTTTCGTGGAGTCTGTATCTAGACTAGCCACAGTACTAGACCGGGAAAGTCCCCCAAGACTGGAATCTACAGACTAAGAAAAAAAATCAGTATCATCAGAAAGTTGCTGAAAACATATTAACAATTCCCTTTTAGATGCCCTGCCTCAACTGGTTTTTTTTAAATAAACTAGTGTTTATGTTCTAATTACTTAAGCAGCACTGCAAAATGGGGAGAAAAAAACACCACCACCTATTTCTTTCCTGAAGTTATCTTTCTACCTCAA